CGGCTTAACACCCATGTGCATATGAGCACCAGGAAATATACCAAGCAAAGTTATTAACATGAAGTTGGGGAGTGGGGTGAGGGTATCTGGGAGATAGAAAACCTAAGTATTCTTTTTCATTCCTTATACTCATCATTAAGCAATTATTGCATGTTGGGTCTGCCCATCCTGGTTGAGAAAGCATGTTCTAACAATTTGGAAGCTGGTATAGGAGCAGACCTAATTTTAGCAGTTTTGTAACCCCACCCACACCCAACCACTACCTTCTCAAAGGTAACTGCACAAGATTATCATCTCTACATGGTTTGACTGATGAATATTTTAGCTTTTAAGATGTGTGAAGGTGATACCATTCTGTAGAAATCACACTCCATATGGGCTCATCTTTGTCTGGGCTACTGAGGGGTGTTGGGTAGAGCAGTGGACTACAGCTGTCAGTCATGTAATCATAAGGGTCAACAGGTGCTAAACTGTGATGCTCAGTCTATTACATAAGACAAATACATTTTCTACCAGTGATATTTTTAACCTATGGCCTGTTTCAACTAAATCCATGGAACGTAACATCATTGTTAAGTTATAGGACTTCTTTATTTAGAATGAATAAATTCTTTCACTTCAAAGCATTTGTTGAATGGGTACTACTTCCCAGGCAAGATTTTAGAAATGGAATGTCTAGCAGTGAAGAAAATAGCCCAAAGCCTTACACCCCATCAAGCCTACATTCTCATGCAGTCTTTGTATCGTCTAATATCATTTCCTGCTTGGTTCAAATCTAATTCATGCCCTACCATTAAAACTGCTTCAGGAAGAGATTGCCATGTGAGTGCTTACTAAAATAGCACTTGGCTTCACTTCAAGACTCAAATGTGCTGACAGAATTAAAACCTGGCTGGTGCTGATGCAGCAGGAAGATCACAGGAACAAGAAAGCACACTTCCTTAAAACCACATCATACCACTCCACAGTGACCAGCCAGCCCTTAAGGCCAGCATCCAGATCCACTTGGCTTGGGAGTTTCTAGATGTCTTGGTATCTGGCCCAACACCAGGCCCTGCCATGTATTGGTTTCAACTAAGAGAATTGGGGTCACATGCTCATGTATGTGGTCCCTTGACACTGAGGGTTCTCTGCCACTCTTGAGTGAGGATTCGCCCCTGACTCTTAGGCTATCCTGCTACTTATCTTAAAAGGAACTGAAATTTTACTGTTTGAACAGGGGAGAAATCAGTGGGTCTTTGTAAATACATATTATATGTATTTAGTAATAAATATCTCTTATATCTTATTAGTAGAAAAGTTAGACCAGGTCTGTCCTGCAACTACTATCTTAGTCCTGCCCTCAACTGCTTATTTTAATTAAAGATGCAACCATTTCAGATGAATCTGATGCCAAGATATTGTTGATGAATCTTTGACACAGTCTATGAAGGAGACACTGAAAGTGGGCAGACATTTAATTTACCACTGTATTCTGCTTTGTTAGTGCAGAGGCCAGCCACATCACATTATTTAATCAACTTACACCACCAAGTATTTTTAAACAGACTTAGAGAGCAAGAAGAAGACTAGAAAACTAAAGCTTATGGTACATGAACATATGAGGAGCCTCTAAGAAGGAATGGGAAGTTGGCAAGGTTGTGATGTGTTTGTAGCCATAAGAGAGATGGAGATAAAAACTAAACTACTACTATAAGGGATTAGCTGGTTGTTGGGACAGATTGGTCTTTCTTGGGTTTTGCTTATTTCTCTCTTTGCTCTTCTTTGATTTCTTCTTTTTCTTTTCCCTTTATTGCAAGTTCTCCCTGCTGCTGGTGAGACACATACATGTCCAGCAGCCTGTTGCCTTTCTGACATGGTTTGAATGCCTTTTCTGGGGCTGTATTGGCAGAACTGTGTCTATAAATGCCAGCAATAAGAATATAGGTATGTGACTGCAAAGCAGCCATGTGGCTCTCTAAGATCTGTTCTCATCCATAGGCTGAAGCACGCTTATAAAAAGGGATGGGGGAAAGTGCCCATTGCCATTTTTGTCATTTAGTTCCATCCCAGCAATAGCAGTACTGAATGTATTGAGACACACACCTGATGGCTATGTCATAGAACGCTGTTGTTTGAGTCTGAGATCTCATGCCATAGTGAAATAGGCTAGGGAGAATATGTGATGTCCTTAAAGCAAGGAGGCTGTGGGCAGTGACTGTGTGAGAGGCCCACCCAGAATTGACAGGAGCTCGCTGAGATTTCAGTTTTCAAATGTTACTAGGAAACAGAGAGCAATAAAACCAAAGCATGTGCATAGTTTACAAATCTGTAAAACAAAAGAGGACTTTAAAATGGCATGAAAGAAATTGAGAGTACTAGGAGACTTTGAAGTTGATTATCGTTGTGGGTAGGTGTCATGACAGCACACATCTGCGTTCCAATGACTGAAGCCCCTCATTTGTACTTTGCTGGCTGACTATGCTTCAAGGATTTTCAGGGCTGGCAAAATTTCAGTTGTTTTTCTTAGTCATAATGTCAAGTTGGGGTGATTTGGGGGTTCTGAGGCTGCATCCTATGCACTCTTCACTAAATCAAACTAGCGAAACAACTGGGGAGAAACAGAGAGAGTTTCATACAGTTCTGACTGGCCTGGAACTCAGTGTATAGCTGAAGATGACCTTGAACTCCTGATCTTCCTACCTCCACTTCAGTCTTCTGAATACCAGTAAATAAAGAAGGGAAGTTCAAATTCTGTTACATTTCCCTGTAAAATGTAACTTAAGGTAAATAAATGAATGAAATGAAAGTTTTCTCAATAGAATATCATAGCTGATAAATTAAGAATTTAATGAGACCAGGCTATTGTATGTTTGGAACTTCTAGTGAAATTGTGTCTCCTTCTAACAGAGATTATGGATTGCTGATAACATCATAGTAAGGATGCTATGCACCTCTTGGTAGAAAAATATCCCGGGTGGCAAAAAGGAAAACTCTCCCTTCCCAAAGATAGGCATACCGTGTTCTCAGAACCTGTAAAGTTGCTACTGTTCTTAGCTAAGGGGAGTTAAATTTGCAGATAGAATTGTGTGTGCAGGTGGTTATAGAAGGGAAAGGTTGTCCTAAAGAAGCTGCATTAGTTACTTGTCTCTGCTACAACTGAAACTCTGGAACAAAAACAGCTCAAGGAGGGAAGAGCTTACTTTGGCTCACAGTTGAAAGGGACCATCCATCATGGTGGTAAAAGTCTTGGCAGCAGAAGGTTGAAGCAGCTTGTAACATTGTATCTGTCTTCAAGAAGCATGGAGCAGTGAATGTTTTTGCTCAACTTGCTTTCTCCCTTTTATGGAGTCCAGAACATCAGCCCATGGAATGGTGCCTCTCACAGTTAAGGTGGATCTTCCTACCTCAATCAACCTAATCCAGATAATCTCCACACAGATGTGCCAGGAGGCTGCCATACTGTAGGTAATATCTCAGGAGTAGCCCAAACAGCTTGTCTCCTAGATTATTCTAGATCCTGTCCAATTGACAGTATTAGCATGAGCCTAGGGAAGTCGCAAGCCTAAGGAAATCGCAGAACATTCGTCTGTGGTCAGAATGCTTAGCGATTATTTAACTGGCTGTTACTAACTTTGAGGGTGGAAAGAGGTCATGGACCCAGGGCTGAGGGAAGCCTGTAGAAGCTAGACAATGACAAAGATTCTCATTTAGTCTTCTCAAAGTAACCACCAGCCCTTCTAGCACCTAGAGTTTAGTCCCATGAGCCCTTAGGCAGAATTCTAACATTAAGGACTATTAGATACAAAAATTATGTTGTTTAATACTAATGAGTTTATGGCTAGCAGTTCACTAAAACAATAGAAAACAAACACACCTCATTTCCTAGAATATACTCTGGATACAGTCTTCCTATAAAGCTCTGTCTGAGGCTGGCCAAGGCTCCTGGTGTAGCTGACAATTTACAGAAAATACAGCAGTCAGAGGAACCTATATGAGATGATAAGGCACAGGAAGAGAAAGGAGATTGTATTTTATCAAAATAAAGTGAAATACGCACATGGAAGAGAGAAGAGGGAGGGGGAGGAAGGGAAGGAAGTGAGGAGATATGAGAATGATGAGAAGGAATGAATATAGAAATCGCATTATCTGGGAAACTATCGGTAAGTGATTCATTAGAGAAATACTGTCTGGAGGCTATAGGAAACTAACTAGTATTTCGTCTATCAACCAATAACAGTAGAAAATGTCATTCAAATAAGCAAATTATTAGAGAGAAAAGTATATTATCAGTGAGGTGTGAACACTGATATGGGTATGTGCTATTAACACAAGAATGATTGATAGGGTTTGATATTTTATGTTTGTTATTAAGGAATGATTGTCAGGAGGCACTACAAAATATATACGGTATTCGGATTATTTTTGAGTAAGAGGGAGGGAGAATGATGGGTAGCAATAACCATGAATTGATACATGTTGAAGATGGATGGTAAGAGGCTGCTGTAGATTTCTACCTTTGCATGGATTTCAGCACTAACACAGCAAATGCTCTTTAAAGTGCTAGTCACTGCTTAGACTTCTCAAAGGTTGAAGAGCCAAATAGATCACGTGCAAGCACTCAATGGGACCACAAGCTGTTGGTGTGAAATTTCTGCAAGGAATTTGGGAAATAGGGTCTTTCATTTCCATCCTTTTCACCCCGCCTGCCTCCTTTGCTCTGTGCAGCCTAGGGATGAAGGCCTCCTCTTTCTGTGCAAGTCAGTGGCTCAGGGGCATTCTCAGAATAGAATTTGCTTGGAATAAGTGAGCAAAAAGAATAATATGCATAATTGTATTGAACAATGCCTCCTGGTATTTTATGTTCATTTGGATTCCCCTCATCTCACTCCTGAAAATATTTTTAAAAAGAAGAAGGAAGGAAGGAGAAGGCAATAACTGTTTCAATTTTTGACAGCCTCGGGTATTTGGAAATGTTAGCTCATCACATTTTCCCTGTTGTGTCTGTGTGTCCATTGCAGGATGGAATGGGGAACTTAAGAATCACAGAAAAGGGTCTGAAGCTGGAAGGAGACTCCGAGTTCTTACAACCTCTCTACGCCAAAGAAATCCAGTCCCGACCAGTAAGTTTCTGATGAGAAAAGAAAGCAATTGATGCTCTGAAATCTAAATCTGGGGAAATCTACCTTGCTGGCTGCTAAGATGGCAATTTCAGATGGTGGTTAAATTGGCATTTGAACCTGAAGACTCAGATAACAATCATAGGTGTGGTGCTGTAAACAAGATTATCCCACCATGTCCCTTACCTTTGTGGCAGAGATAATAGTAGCCACTGTTTATCAACTTCAAGATGATGCTATGAACTGGAAGATGATAAACACAGTAAAACCCTGGTACTAAACCTGTGAAGGATAATATTACTATTGTTTTTAATTGTCAATCATTTCAAAGTCATCTGTGATAACAGAACTAATGAATCATAACTTTGGTTTTCATTTACAATTCATATGTTCTAGCCCATGCTGTCTAGAATCAGTTCATTATCAACAACTGTGATCTAAAATGGTATTTAATGACTGAATGCTGTGTGCCATTGAGGTGCAGGCTGGCTCTGTGTGTGTGATTAATTCAAAGGTTGGTCATTGTGGTAGAAACTATTGCTACTCCATTTTACAGATTAGTGAATTAAGACATTGATAAGTAAAATGTCCAGAATAAATTTAAAAAAAAAAACAGAGCAAAGATTTTGATTCTGGAAATTTAATTCTAAAGCTTTTTTGTCAACTAGTCTGTTGCATAAGGTTTTCATTTTTCTTTCTCGTAGTAAAATGCATGATTCCTACATAGTGTACCTTCAGTAGTTCAGGTTATCAAACTCAGTGGTTAATGATGTCTGTTGTTGTTGGTTGGTTAGGATGATGGTCTGAATGTGAACTGTCCCCCACAGAGTTATGTGTCACCTGCTAAGTCTGCAGTTGCCAGTGCTTTCTTGATAGGTTGTAAAATAGGTAGGAAGTGGAGGAAGTGTGTCACCGAGGGAGGTCCTTCAGGTTTATCATCCAGCTCTGCTTCCTGCCACTCTGTGCTTCATGGTCATTAGACACGACACGTAAGCAAGCAACCTCACACTTGTTCCCCCACAGTTTCCACCTGCTGCCTTACCAATCACACACATACATATAGACTTTGCTGTCAACATGGGAGCCAAAATAAACCTTCTCCTCCCACCCCTGTGTCACTTCTTATCAGATATTTGATTATAGTGATGAGAAAGCTAATACCCATCACTTTCTTACATAGGCTTTTACTTATTTAGTTTGTGAAGAAGTAGAGCTCATTGGTTGAACATGTTTATTAAATCCTTCACTTTGCATATTAAATCCTTCACTTTGCTTTACTGTCCACATGAAAGCTAAGACTGACTAGAAAGTTCCTCTACCATCATTTACATAATATGCATTGATTGGAATAATTAATGAAATCCAGCAACTTGGAATAGTGGCTCATTTTATATGAGGGCCATATGAGGGCCAGGATTGTAGTAGACTAGATCTAACTCTACTTGCAGAAGTACTCCATTCCTATCACATCTGGAATACAACTCAAAGTCCCCCAGCAAGGCCTGTCAAAATCTTTTTAAAATTGTTTTTAGAAAGAAATTTGTGTGTGTGTGTGTGTGTGTGTGTGTGTGTGTGTGTGTGTGTGCGTGCGCGCATGCGCCACATACACAAGTACACGTGAAAAACCTCACCACAATAGAAATAATGATGAACATGTCCACCACCCCTAAGAGTCTCTCTCTGTCCCCTTTTAACCCCTCTGTCCCATCAAACCATTCTGTCCTCCACTGCTTCCAAGAAACCATTCCATTACTCTGTCCTTACTTTGCATTTCTCTAAACTTCATAGACTTGGAGTCATATGTGATGTTCATTAAAAAAAAAAAAACAAAAAAAAACCTTAAGCATAAAATACCTTTGCCACTGCCTGACTTTTTTCCTTAAAACCATCTATTTAATATCTAACTTACAAAAGTTCTGTCTTTTACCTGCAATTAGGCTGTCTTGGTTTGCCAAAAAGAGATAGGAGATTATGGTTCAAGGGTATAGGCTTTCCATTTCTCTCTTGGAGAACATTAGAAGACACAGAGAAAAACTCTCTTGGAGAACATTGGAAGACCTAGAGGGAGATGGGGAATTGTTCGCTATGAAATGGAATCTGCATCTCTTTGACATGTCACAAGGGAAAACAAGTGTGTTGACAGAAAATGATAAAGGAAAAATGATCAGACCTTTAGGGCTAGTCTATAGACCTTCCTCTGTGCAGGTAGAAATTAAGGCATTTGAAAAAATTATCATTCTCCTGTCGAGGAAGATGGAAAGGATGATGGTTGGGTACCACTGAACCCCAGCCCTCAGTGATGCCTCATGTTCCAACAATACTACTCTGCAGTGTTTCCATTCTCCTCTTTTGAATCACCTACAGTATCCTCCCATGCAGTGTTACTGCTGTGTTTCACGGGCATCCCCTTCTGCTCTTCTGAATCAGAAGAGACTCATGCCAGTTGACTGAGATTGAGAGCCACTCTAGGTGGGGTGGAGTAATAAAGAGATAATTGTCTTCAGTTTGGTTTTCTGTCTCACTGATCCAAGAACTGAGATAAACCATCCACACAACATTCAATACTGTATCTGATTTCATTAGTGAAGGCTGGAGTCCTGGTAAAAAGCACTGCAACATTGTTGGGTGTGGTGACACCTGCTTAAGAAGACAAATTTACAACTGTGAGTGATATCAGTAAACATTAATTCCTGAACTACCAACAAATATCTAGGCTGAGTTTCAAAGCCTCTGAGAGTTGACTAAATCACTTCACTGAATGGTTGGGGTAGTAATGTCTAGTGAAGGAGCTAGGACTTACCTTGCTACCAGCAGCTCAAACAGACCTAAACTCCACGACTGCAAGGCCCCATGGTATTCCTGCTGAGCTGGCCTTCAGTTTTTCTCATCATACCAGCTTGGTGTGATAAGTTGGGTCACACTTGGCGATTTCCTACTCAGTAGGGGTAGCTGGCTGGAACACACCACTGAGCCCTTGAGAGGGGTCAAGGAGCTAGGAAAATGAACCCCCAGATGATGAATGATGTAGAAAATACGACTTAGTGATATCCGATCTATCCACTTATGGGACAGTCTCTATTTAATAAGCTTCTTATCAAGGTGAATGCCTTTGGAGGGATCCACCCTCTGCACTGTTGGCTGATGGATACACCTAACCATTATGAACCTCATTTCCCTACAGATATCCATCGACAGAGCTACTTTTTTTTTTCAGATGGGCAATAATGATGATTTCACATTTTCCTGAAATAACCACATTTGTTCATTTGATGTGAGCGAAGAGAAGAAATCTGACCCTCACACAGAACAGAGGATCTAGCAAAGTGGGCTGATGTTTCTGACGGTAGACCTGGGCAGCACTCTCCTGCTCACTGTGTTCTCTAGTCTACCAGTCTCTTTCAGTCATGGTGGTCTATATCCAATCATTCCAATCCTTTGTATTATGTGCCCTTGATGTCCCTTGCCTCTAAGGTCCCTTGTCCTCAGCTCTTGGTTTACAGAATTGCAAGTATACACACCTCATCAAGGAGTCAATAAAAATTAGGTTTTATTTTTCCCTTTGGAAAACGAAGAAGGAATACTTATTTTTAAAAAATGCATTGTGCTTTGCTTTAAAAAAATAAGTATTCGTATTCATTAAACTCTTTATGGCTTGCTTTCTATTTTTCTCTTATGCTTAAGTGTTCCATGGTCATCCAGTTCTTGTGTCCCCACCTCAGCTTTTACTGATTATACAACTGACAAATACAATTGGGTATATTAGAGGCATATAGCCTTAGTAATGGCTTGACATGTATTGTGAGGTGACCACTACAAACAAGACATTACCACAATCCTTTTCTGTTGCCATGCAGGTTTTCTAAGCTGACTTCAAATGAATACATATGAATAACTTCAGAGCTTCCATATTATACATTAATCCAAGACTTAGTTATATGACAACCAAAGGTCAGGACCCAATGAGTACATGTCTGCACTTCACCTACCCCTAATGACTACCCTTCTATTCACTGTCTCTGTGAGTTCAGCTTTTCCAGTTTCTGCATTGTACTGAGATCATGTGATGTTTGCCTTTTTGTGCCTCAGCAGTTTCACTTAGTTTAGTTTCCTCCATATTGCTAAAACTGACAGAGTTTCATTTTTAGGTCTTAGTCATATTTTATTGTGTAGACATACACACATTTTCTTCATCCACTCATCTATTATGTATGCTTGGATTGACTCCATGAATGGCTCTTGTGTAATGTTGGAATAATCTCAGGAGCACTGCCATCTCTTTGCCATAATAATTGTTTTCACTGGCCATATATTTTCAAAGCTGGATCACTATGTCATATGAGAGTTCTTTTTGTTTTCTCAGGAGTGTGCATAGGTTCTCATCTCATAGGTACCCACCTACCATCAGCATGTAAGAGTTTGGTTTTCTGTACATATTTGTCAGCACACACTATCTTTCTTATTTTTGCTAATGCACCTCTAACAGATGTGAGATGACACCTCATAGTTTCAATTTGCATTTCACCCGTCATTAGTAATATTCCTGAGATTAGTCTTAACAAGGCTGTCATCCATTTGCATATTTCTTTTGGGGAAAAAATGACTACTCAGGTCCTTTGCCTTTTCTTAATCAAATTGCTATTCTTCGTATTGAGTCCTGTGTGTTCTTTATATATTTTTACTTCAGTTCCTTGTTAGATGCTGCATGTTGTACAGATATTTTCTTCCCCTGCAGAGGTTGGTTTCTCACTTTGGTGATTATTTTCTTTGCCTTTGCCATGCAGAAGCATTTGTGTGTATTTGATGGAATTCTGTGTAATTGTTTATATTTATTTTTGATGTCTTTGGTTTTGTTTCTTATAAAAAAGGAGTGAAAAATCACAGGCAAGATCAACCTCCCCTTTTTTTCTGTTAGCCATTTTATCAACTTAGGTGTTACATTCGTCTATTTTATGATGATTTTTGAGTATCAGATAAGATTACAATTCCATCTCTTCTCGTTTGCC